TTTTATGAAAAAAATAATTTGTAACTCCATTTTTGTGAGGAAAAGGTTAAATCTGAACAGCTTCTTGTGCAAATTCTTAATTTTAAACACAATTAGTGTCCATTGCTATCTAAGACTAATTCATGCAACAGCAGCTGCAGCAATGATTTTTTTTTTTGCTGTCTAAGAAAAAAAATACACTGAAATGTGGAATAAAGCTATGTCAAAGGTAAAATAAACAAACCATAACAGCCAGTGCCTGCCAAGAAAATAAGATCCAGCCCTGCAATCCTTCATACTGTTGGACCCCTCAGTCTCTGGTTTTCACATTTTCAGCTTGTACAGATTTTTTTCTTTGTGAACTCAAATGTCTGCTGGGACTGGGAATAGAAGAAAAGTTATGGTTAAACCCTTCTGTCCAACCTCATTCCTTGAATAATCAGAAGTAAAAGAAGTAAACTAGTAAGTTTCTCTCTTTCAGCAGTCAGAGTATTTCAAAATAAATTGTGGTAATCTATAGCAACAGAACCGTCCATTTCTTCCAGGCAGATGAAATATAAAATATGCAGTAATGCTCAAAGCACTTGCTAATTATTTAACAGAGGGATTTTCCACACAAAACACATTTAAAAATTGAAAAGCTTCACTAGTCCTGAGCAGAACATTTAAAAGAAGACTTTTATCAGCAATAATTTAAATCAGAGGAGTGCAGTAACCCCATCTTGTAGCCAGAATTCAGCTGAACTCTACGCAGTGTTAAAGATCCCTCTGCAAAATGAGAGTATTACATATCACTAGTCAGAAGCAGGAATGATTTCTAAAGATCGGCCAGGATGAAGCAGAGTTGAGGCTAGGAGGGGATTTCCAGAGGAGTTCTGCCTTGTCTGAGCTTCAGTTATTCATACACTTCCTAGTTTCTCTGTGCCTCAGTTTGTCCAGCTTTAACTGCAATCTTTGTAGACCCTGTAAAACTCTGAAGCTGACCTGCTGCAACACACCATGATTTCCAGTGAGCATCATTTACAGTAATATTTTATTGCTCATCATCCAACATCCTCTTTCCTTAAACATCCTAAAATTTGGAGTTTGGGGTGTTTGTTTGTTTTGTGGTTTGGTTTTTTTGTATTGTTTTTGTTTGGGGTTTTTGTTGGTTTTTTTGTTGTTGTTATTGTTTTGGTTTTTGTTTTGTTTTTTTTTTTCAGTGGAGCTGCACCCAGCTGTCCCTATCTTTCTCTTCAGAGCTGATGTCACCACTTCAGCACCATCCATCCATCTTCCCCTGCAGTGTATGCTCCTTTCCCAGGGCTGCAAATTTCACCTGCCATTAATTTTGTTCATTCAGCACAGTTGTTTACAAGGAAAAAAATAAGACTTTGAGAAAATTTTGGCATAACTACTAGCCTTGTTTCTCTAGACCTTTCTTAAGTAGATGTGCAGGACAAAGTGAGGAGGGGTCAGGAATTGCAGTCTCCCAGGATCATATGAAGAGAATTAGAAAAAACTATTGATGATCAAAAATTGAACAGATTACCAGTCTAGTTAACCTTAAATTAAAAGAAAAATATATATTAAAGAAAAGAAGACTGGAGGTACGCATGCTGATAGTCTTCAAAATGCATAAATTCTGTGGTGAAAAGGAAGGGAACGACCTGTTCTCTAAATGGATAGGGCAAGAAATAATGGAGTTAAACTGCACATAAGGAGTTTCTAATTGGAGGCAGTGGAAGACTGTCCTAAGCTAAGGAAAGCAGAGCACTCAAAGGGATGCCTGGGGAGGTTATAAAATTTCATCCCTTATTTGCATAATTTGGATATTTACCAGGAAAGAGGTGGGGAGATTGGATCCTGCTTTATGGTAAGGAAATCGTAGGATGGACCATATGAACTCTTAACATTCTTTTCTGTTCCAGTAAGTTTATGCCATAACTGTGAAGTCCAAAAAGACCCATTCATCTTCCACGTACATATAGGAACACCCCCTCCCCTCCTAACAAACCTAAAGTTTATACTGCTCCAAGGCAAGGGCTTCATCCAGCCCAGCAGTTCCTGCCCCCAAAACACTCATATGCCTTTTTTAAAAAGTGAACCATGTTCCATCTTGTCAAGCGGGATGAATGCCTCCCCTTTCTCTTTTTACCCCTCCAAATGCAACAGCCCATGTTAGAGAAAAAATTCTTCTGAAGTCAAATACGATCATTAGTTCCAAGCACTTGAGCAAGATACATGAGTCAAGAGCAGGACTACCGTGAACACCTCTGCCCAGCTTTTCATCTCTCACTAATGCTGATCTGATATTTTAGAGAAGGCAACACTTCCCCAAGTCACCCTGGAAGTAACAGAGCCAGGGACCATGGGGAAAAAGTTCCATCAAAACAACAAAAAATATTATTCCCAAGCCTTGCTGGTAACTCACAGAAAATCTGGATTGTGGCACTGACAAATACAATGCATAAAGAGCACATTGAGTGTAGTGAACTAATCTTTATTCCAATCAGCTTCCCAAATAGGGAAAACAAGGAAATGCCAAGGGGACTGAGAAGGCACATGGAATTAGTTCCTGAAAGGGGTTCTTGCATTCTTCCATCTGGCTCTCAGTGGAAGAACGTCCTTAAAGAAAATCAGACTCATCTTCAGGACCCCAAGTTATGACATGCCAATCCTTTACCCTCACAGAACCCACCTCCATGACCAGCCTTCCCCTGCTTTCCCCTACTTCTGTTGCCATATCCTGCCACAGCAAAGAAACATGGTTTCAATGACAGCTTCTTCATGTCTAACAGTAATGGTTTTTCATCCTTCCTACCAAGGGGGTACTGACTCCTCCCCATTCCAGTTTTAATTGCCAAGTTCTTGGCCAAACCTGCCTTCTCATACCAACCAGGACTCTGAATTTATGAAGCTTCATAATGAAATGACATAGGTTGTGTGCTCCCACTCTCCTGTTTGGGAAGCTGTTGAGATCTTCAGTCCTCTAGTTGTCAGGAGCCTTTTTGTTCCTGGCTTCCTGTCCCAATTTCCTCACGATAAATCTTCTCTGGCACCAACAATGTTCAGCTCAGTGACCTCCTGTGTATTCAGCTTACCACATCACAGCATTGCTTTTAGGGAATCACTTCCACATGGCACCACACCATATGCCCTTCTGCAGCCATATAGCTGAACACACATCTTTGGACAACCAAAATGCATGTAGCTATATAGGCCAAAAAAATCTACGGTCACAGCACACATCCATCTGCAGAGAACTGAGAAAATCTTGCAGTCTCTTACCTGATGTTTATGTGTGATCCCATCATGAGTTCCTTTACTCATACCTTTGTGTAAGGGAAGATGCCTGTGTTTTGGTCACATGATGGATCAGTTTGGGTCACATGATAGGGAAAGAACTGTGCATTAGACTGCAGGAGGGATGATTATATGCAGTCTTACATGCCGAGGTCAAACAACTCAACTTGAATCCCACTTTTCAGCCATCATTAGGCTACCAGATGAGCTCCAGGACAGGTCTACAGCATACTGAAGCGTAGCACAATTTACATTTTCTGCCAAGACAAACCAGTGCATTTTAATCTTGGCTGCTTTTTCTTCTGTTGTAACCTAGCACCGTTTCAGCTCCATCTGTGATTGCTGTGCTGGGAAGACAATAGAAAACAGAACATTTGTGATGAGTAGCATCTATCAGGTTTTAGTATCTAAAAGCCTTCCCTGAGACCCACAGAACAGGGCCTGCCATGACCAGAATCATAAATGGAAGAGGAAAATCAGCCAGCTACTGTTGGTGTGCTTCATGGCCCAAACTTGCACCTTTAAACCACCTTGGGATTTCCCACCTATGGCATTCCTTCAGGATCAAAACCTGAGGCAACTTCAGGAAACGCTGGGACACCAAGGGGCAAGTTGTATGCCTTCAAAGGATGAAATTCACAGAAGCAATTAGGTTGGAAAAGATCTCTGAGGTCCTTGAGTCCAACCTATGGCCTAACGCCACCCTGTCAACTAGACCATGGCACTAAGTGCCACGTTCAGCCTTTCCACTAGGAATGGTGACTCTACCACCTCCCTGGGTACTCCATTTCAATGTCTAATCACCCTTTATGTGAAGAAATTCCTCCTGTTGTGCAACCTTAACCTCCCCTGGTGCAGCTTAAGACTGTCCTCTTGTCCTGTCACTGGTTGCCTGGGAGAAGAGACTGACCCCCACCTGGATACAAACTCCTTTCAGGGTGTTGTAGAGAGTGATAAGGTCACCCCTGAGCATCCTCTTCTCCAGGCTAAACATCCCCAGCTCCCTTAGCTGCTCCTCATAAGACTAGTGCTCCAGACTCTTCACCAGCTCCATTGCCATTCTCTGGACTCGCTGCAGCACCTCTGAATCGAGGGGACCAATGTCACCGAGGCTATGGGGAGGCACTGGGTGCAAATAAAGAACAGTGAAGGTATCTCTCCCCCTGAATGGCTGCAGCAGTGTTTTTAACGCAGAGAGCTGAGCTGCCCTTTCGCCTTCTCTGCGAGAGCGGGCTTAGCGCTCCGCTCGCACAACCGGCGGGCGCTCCCAAGCGCGCCCCTCGCCAACACCCCGAAATCAACCCGCATCTTCCAGGACCGCCACCGGCACAAGTTCGCGGGGAAGAAGGGGATGCTGCGGGGTCCCCCGTAAGGCAGGGAGGGCTCGGCAGGTGCCGGGCCCCTCCCGCTCGGGGCGCGGCGCGGGCAGCGGGGCCGCGCTGTGCCTAACGCGGGATGACAGGCGCGCGCGCGCACCCCCCCGCCCCTCACCACCGCCCCCCCCCTCCCGCCCCGCCAGCCCGGGCTGACATCACCGGGCAGGATTTAAATAGCTCCGCAGCCTCCTGCTTCCCGGATACAGCGCGCGCCATTGGCCGCCGCCGCAGCCAATGGCGGCGCCGCGCCGCTCCCCGCGGCCAATGGCGGCGCGGCGGCCGGCGCGCCCCTCCCCTGTCGCTAAGGGAGGGAAATACAGCGCGGCGCGGCGGGCTGTCAGGTGCGCCGGGCAGCGCCGGGGTGCACCGGGCGCGGGGAGCGGCCGGGGGGCTGCCGGGCGGGAGGGTGGGCTCTCCTCCCTTAACAACCTCCCTCCCGCCTTGTTTTTCGTCCCTGCTAAGGCGAGCTCCCGTAGCCAGCCGCGTTGCTCGGCGCGCGAAGGGAAGAGTGTGGAAAGTGGCGGGTTCTCCGCTTTGTTTTAGTCGCTCCGGTGGCGGCGTCTCCGGGGCGGTGAAATACGGGACGAGCGGCCTCCGCTGTGCTCCTTCCTCCTCGGGGAGAGCTGGAAAATAGAGAGAGAGAGAGAAAGAGAGAGAGGAGAGAGAGGGGAGAGCGATCGGTGGTGCCTCGTGGGCTGGCCGAGCTGCTGCCGGGGCTCGGCGGCCGCAGACGGTGGATTTGCGGGAAGCGGACGGGATGAGAAATAAACGCACCTGGCCAGCGGCGTTTAGGGGAGCGGGGGCCGGGTGCTCCCGCTGGCTGCTGGAGTCACTGGACTCCGAACTCGGACCCGCCGAGCTGCAATGGACGCTGCCCGCCGCTGGCCGCAGAGCGGAGCATTCCCGCCGCCGCCGCCGCCGCCGCCGCCGAGGAGGGAGAGCTGCCCGCCCGGAGCCGGCCCGCGGCGCGCCCCTCGCCCGGAGAGGGACCGGGGGTTTCCTCTTCGGCATCGCTCCGGTGAACGTGGGCTGTGCCAGCCGGGCGCCCACATAGGTTGCGTGCCAGCCGCGGCGCGAGCGAATAGGTAAACGCCACTGTGTAGATGTGCTGTTCGGAAAGGAGGAGGAAAAAAAAATTTAAGAAAAAAAAAAAAAAAAAGGCGAGGATGCGGATGTTGGGCCTGGCAAAGGGGACTGGGCTGCATGGGGAGGTGGAATAGCCTCTTCTCCTGTGCCTCGCGCGGCGGCGAGATATAGCCTACCGAAAATGAAGTCCTTACGTAAGGCGGGCTGGCTGGATGGCTGGATACCTGCTGGGTCCTGCGTCGCCAGCCGCTGCCCCGCCAGAATTACCTGGGTCTCTCTCTCCCTGCCATGCCGCAGCTTGTCACTGCAGGGCCTGTCCTAAAAGCAGACTTTCAGACGCAAGAGCTCGTACATTTAAGAGCTGCGTAGCATCGTGGAACAAACATAAATCAATTGCATTCCAAACTCAGAAAATTTAACCCATTTCACTTGCTACCAAGCTTACAAGCTTGAAAGGAGAATGCGTAAATCTGTTTTGCTGTCAAGCTGTAATAGCATTGCGTAAAACATTTCTGCTTGGTTACTGTTTATTGCTTCACACCCTCCAAATATTTCTGACTTGTTTCTTTCCCGGATCCACAATGTGTTAAAACGTTGCCTGAATATCCTAAAGATGTCGGCCTGCATACTCAAAAGGCAAATGCATGTGTAAAAACTGTAGGGAAAACACAGAACAGGGTTGAGACATTTTTTTAATTTAATATAATTTTCTGGTTCTCCCTACATTTTAGAGCAGGGTGATGAACTTTATGCCTTGATACTTTTCTTCTCCATTACTCCTCAAATTAAGAACACAGCTTAAATCATAGTTTTGTTGGAGAGCTTTTTTTTTTTTTTTTTTTTTTTTTTTTTTTTTTTTTTTTTTTTTTTTTTTTTTTTTTTTTTTTTTTAACAAGATAAATTCTTATGCAACATGAAACATTAATTATCGCAGGAGAAGCTGCAAAAATACTTACTGGAGAGGCCCTGGTGAAAGTAAAAATAAAAATTAAATGAATGCCTAATCTTTCCCTGAAACAAACCCACCGAGTTATCAGAAATATGAGGTGCCTATGTGTCTGCATCTTTGTGATGTCATGAAGTTTGTGTCAAGGTTTCTCTCCCTTTAGGAAAGGTGAGCCTCTAATAAGAAATCGTTCCTCCCGTTCTCCCCCGTGTTTCTGCTACCTCCTTCTCCTTACCTGTTATTCCTCTCAGTGAAGGATGAGAACTGTGAAGCCTTGTTTTCCCTTCTGTTGTTCCAGAACTCCATGGATGTATTGGAAGTAAGCGCCGGGAGCATTTGGTGATGTTTGGGGGAGGAAGGCACAAGCCACCAAGGCCCTGTTCCCTCCATCTTGAGCCTTCCATGGTGACATGCAGCAGCACAGGGAAGTATGAAGCACTGAGGGACAGAAGTCGGTGTTTAAACTTAACTTCGCTTCAGCGTAAACGACCACGCACGTTTCAGATTGATGGAGGACCAGGGGTAGAATAGCAGAAGTACTTAAGGTGCCCTCTATTTTGCATATCTAAAGATTAGGGAGATGTTTAGAAAAGTGATTATACACCTGTGCTTATGTTTACTGTCCTAACAGAAGATGATGGTCCGCATTATCTTAAATGCTAGATATGTCTTGGATGCATCTGCGTCACCTTATTGATCTCAGGGGAAATGTATTGATTTAAGTTAGTGAAGGCACTAACCCAGCCAAGTTTTAAATTATTAGAATAGTATTCTCCCTCTTTTTCAGTCAGATTTGCCCTTCATGTTACTTCTGTTTCATAATCCTCCTAGCTCTCCATTTTGTCATTACAAGACCAGCATCTCTACTGTAGGAAAAAAAAAAAAAAAAGAGGACACCCCCCCCCCCACCTCCCTCCCAAAGATAGTCTTTTAACAATCGGCTCTTTATATTAATGTTTAAATAAATTTAGGACACAAATGAACCGGGTTTTTTAATAGGCCAATTTAGTTTCAGTTTCTTACACAGTTATTTTTTAGAGCCAGAAGCTCTCAGGAAGAGAATGTGTTCGATGCACCAGAACCCTTTAGGGTTTCGATGAAAGACATGATATCATGAGTACCATCTCCACTTCTGTTATTCTTCTTATATAGTAGCGACAAGACTGAATCACCATTTTTAGCTATTCTTCAGCAGAACTCATAATCTATCAAAGTGTCAGCTCAACAGCAGTTTTCTCTTCACACTAATGTGAACCAGAAGGTCCAGCTATCACTGATTTTGACAATTTTATTTTATCTGAGATTGCATGTATTGCAGAAGTTTGAAGCAAATGAATTATAGGACCTATTATATTTTCCTGAAGATGTACAGAACGTAAAATATGTCCGCTAAAACATTTCAAACTAATTTGTATCAGATAAGATTCTTAAGTTAGGTGTTTCATAAGCCTTATGCTATAAGCGCTATTAAATATTTGTGTGATAAATAATAAGTATAAGAGCAAATGTGGGTCCTGTATTTTTTTGAATGCCTCAGAGTGCCCTCTGTGTTGTTACATAATGCATCATAAAGAAATACGTGCCTTCATTCTCTGTAAATCACTCCAACGTGGATAGTGCTAAGCTTTCCTTCAAGTCCTTGTTATGCAAGTCCTTGCTACTGCTAATAGCTGTCAGCTCTGCACGGTTACTTAAAAAACAAGGTAACTTCAGACTTTTTGTGAAGCTCCTTGCATATCTGGAATTTACAGTGAGTTGATTTCAGGTGCGTTGCTCCCTTTCCCAGCTTTAAATTAAATTATTCTGAACAAACAGGTTTTCCCCCATCAGAATAAAGTCCCACTCATTCCAGTATATCACAGGGGAGTTCATTTTTTTGTTTAGATGTGTCTATAAGCATTTTATATTATGAGTATCTGAATGCACTTCAGTGTCAAAACACAGTGGAATAGATCAGAATGCAGTAATATTTCGAATGTCTCTTGGAAAATGCAGGCATGTAACTAAGTACTGAAAAAATTCGTAGCACAGTAAAAAATCCATGACCAATCCAGCAAAGCTATTAGTTAACAAAAAAAATCCATATTGGCACTAAGTACTATTATTTAAGGTAAAATCTCTGTTATAAGCAGCATTCAAGTGAAATTGATGAGGCATCTATATAGAACAGAAAGAATCATTTTTCTACAGCTATGATGCGACCTTCTTGTATTTCTTTACCTGGAAGTAAGATTTTACTCATCTTTTTGTAAAGGCATAAAATTAACAGCAAGCTCTTCGGAGAATTAGGAACACTGCCTGACTTGTGAGATTTTTTTTTTTCCTCTATGAAACACAGAGATCACTGGTGGCAAAAAATCAGGAGAAACCGGTCTGGGTTTTCCAGTATCATGCAGATCTTTTTGAGTGCCCTGTCCTTTAAGAAGGCCTCGGTTTTAAAGATACGGAAATGGAAATATCTCAAAATTTGTCATCCTGACTATATATAGAAAAAATTTGCTCTCCATTTATACTAGTAGAAGTATACAAGTAGTAACTCAGTGATGTGTCACCAGGAAAGGAGGGTTGGTTTCATATTCCATTAATAGATCTATTAGTTTAACAGTCGTCTATTGCATTTCTAAATTTTTTACATCTTTTTGTTGCTCTCGTAAATTGGAGGTACTTGCTTATTTGTTTATTTCTATTTTCTTACCTGTAGTCATTTTAAAAGGTTCAGCTATATTCTGTTCAGATTTTGTTATGACACATGGAAAATATTTTTTTTTTTAAATTCCTTTTGCAAGCAGTGGGTTGGTGGGAGGAGGTCTGCACTGTAACACAGTATACCTACGAAATTGTTCTCCAGAGTGAGAGATAAAATAAGAAAGAGCAGAATGACAGAAACGAGTAATTTGTCGCCGATATTCATGCAGTGCTGGTATTTTATTTTAAGCTGGATTCATCACACATGATAAGGAGTAATTTTTGTCTGATATGAAGTTTCCATCTAAGGAGACTAAGTGGTTTAAGTTTAAACTGTGGCTGGAAAATACAGGGAAGCATTACTGGACAGTTGAGAGTTTGATTCAGTAGCCAAAGTGGACACAAAGAAGTAAATTGGAGAACACTTTTTTTTTTTTTGTAGTGTTTGAAATATGTCAGGAAAATACATCACATCTGTGGAACATTTGCTTTACCTACAAGATGGTTTTTGCCTGTGAAGCACAAGGATTTTACCACAAACGTCTGAATTATGTAGATTATACAGGGTTCTGATGCCGTTGGAAAGCAAGCATGAAATGTTCATGTGTGAACCTCAGATATCTGAGCAACATTTACTGACCACTTTTGCAGTATTTTATAGGTCTGTAACGTAGTTTTAGTAATAAAAATTTAGTGAAAATGTATGAGGTAAGCACTAGTGTAATACTGATTTCAGGTTTTTTAGATGGGCCAATTACCATGTTTAGTAAAGTAGAATAAAAATGAGAAGGCCCCGGACTAAGATTATTTTAAAAGGGAGATTTTTAAAAAAATTAATATTGGACTTAGTTTGTATTAACTGCTATTTTTTTCATACAATTTTCTCTTTTCTTGAATTCCACTCCTCTGTCCGAAATACTGTACGCTGGCCCCGAAAGGGGGAAATATAATGGCTACAATTAGCTTCTGTTTACTGGAGCAAAATGATTTTTTTCCCAAACTGAAATATATGGAATGATTTGCTAGACTTCCAGCTATTTTTATGTGTGGTATTTCTGAGAAATAGATACCAATGTCCATTTTAATGCAGCTTACTGTAGTATAGCAGCCGAAATCAAGTGGTTTTCTCTTTGGTAGTCGGATATACGGAATTGTTGGACTGTTTGCTTGTAAGTACCTGAAAGCTGAATCGGAAAAAACATATTTTTGATACGATAAGTTAGGCTTTCCTGGCTGTACTTTCTTTTGAGTTTTCAAGGTAAACGCTGCATAGACTGATTATCAGAAAAATTGAGGCTTACATAATCAAGCTATTCATTTTTCTACTGCCTCCCTGCCCCCACTTAGCTTTCATTTTACTAAGAAAAATGAAAAATTTTGAGAAGAAACTTACTATGATGTACTGATTATATACACATTTTCATGAGACTGCATAGCTAAGCTGTTTGTATGTATTTAGTAAAACAAAGCAGCAAGCAAAATATTAAAACCTCAAGATGGCTAAACTTTAAAATTATAGTAATTAAATACAGCATTATCTAATATGCTGTACCTAGCTGTGTAGCAATGAGTCTTTTTTCTTTGCATGGGAAATTAGAGTAATTCTATGTTGTCTTTATTCAGAATAAGAAAAATAAGAACATCGTACCCCATTTTTTTTCATTCGTCGTAAAGCTGACTTTCTTTCCTAAGGGAGTTGGTTCAATACCCAACTTTTAGAGGATGAGTAGTGACTGTTATTGACAAAATATATATCAAATGAGTCAAAACTCTGTCCTGCTAGATAATTACAAATTGAATTAAGTAAAAGGAATAATAATAAAATTTTATCTAAATATGTTAGCATGAGCTCTTACCCATAGGTGGCAGTCATCTTTCACAGTAGCAGGGATGCCAAACTTTTGGTTCGTGGTATTCATACTTATGCTGAAATAATTCTGATGAGGTATGCGTATGTGGATGTACATAAGCATATACATTTCTATGTGTTGGGAGAGGGGGAAGGAGGTAAAAATAACTGTAAAATTAATTAGTCATTGGGAGGAATCTGAATTGCTATATATAAGCAATAAGATAAGAAATTATCATATTCTGGAGAAAAGGTCCATGTATTTAAAACCACCAAACATATTTTTTATCTGTCCGTTGCTGATGCTCATCTAAATGAAGTAGTGATAATTCAGAAATGAGCCAGTAGCCCTACAAATTGAACAGGAAGACAAGTATCTTGCCAGCCTGAGAGAACATGACCCTCTATCGTGCCTGGTCCTCCAAACTGCATTTCTGTTTCGTCGCTCATTATATGTAAATTCCAGAAGGGCCACGGTGATAATGTCGCCCTGGAAATCCCAGCAATAAGCTCCCTTAAACACTGAGCAAATACAGGAAAGGTACTCGCGGTGCAGGTGCCCTTTCAGCCATGGAGAGCAAGCAAAACCTACAGGCTGCTGTGCTGTTCTCCGTCTCTTTGCAGAGCTGCCATTGACACCCGTGGCAGCGCTGTGCAAAGGGGAGGACGCTGCCTGCCGGAGCAGAGATCCGCTCAGTTTTGCCCTCAGCTTTTTTAGGGATTTATGTGGTTTATGGGGATTTCCTTTTGCAATACTGCTAAGGAGGCACTTGGGACCCCACCAAAACTGAAGGGGATAGAAGGAGCTAATAAGGCCAAGTCATCTCAGTCTAAAACAAACAGAACTTGTGAAACTACACGTGTCATAGTGAGACGATAACATTCTTCTGAGAAAAGAAGACTGAAACCTGGAATTCAGGGGTAGGTGAAGTCATATTCTTTGTTCTATTACAGCTACATTGGGACTCTTTTCAGTTAATATCAATCTAATATTGTGTCAAGGTAGGCCACTCTACACATTCAGCAGAGGTCAGGAACTAGCGTTCTACAAAATGGAAAATTGAAAAAATAGACAATTATGTGTTGCTACTACAGTATTTCACTGTGATGCAAGATTAAGGGCTCAGAACTGAGCAGAATGGTGCAGTATTATTAAAACAGAAGGACTAATTCTCCTTATGCAAGAGTCACAGCAACACACATCATTGTATAAGCCAAAGCAGGCTGTATGATTTCATAGTCAAACAGGGTATTTCCACAGACAGGCAATCACGACATGACTAATTAGATACTTGCATATGCATGGCCCCATTTGTTCCCCAACTGTAATAATTAGGAGGATTGCACTCCACAATAATTTACACTCTTGTGTAACACTATTGAATGTAAGATAGCGGTGGTGATAAACTGGCTGGTGACAAATGTGTAAATTTGATACATGTTTTGAAAATCAGAGCTTTCATAGTCTGCTCTGTCCTTGATATGGGCAGGTCTGGAGAAGACCTCCTCTGCTGCCAGGCCTGATCCTCTCTGTCGCAGGCAGCCATGTTACACTCTTCAACTTAACATGCAGAGACACCAGACTCCATCTTGAAGCTACCCCTATCATCAGCTGATTTTCTGTTCATCTGCATAGTTAAAGATTTCAGATAATGTGTATCATGACCAGCTGAACCTCTCACATTCTATAACGTCTTTGTCTTCAGTTTAGAGAGTATTTCTCTCTCCTGGTATAAAGTCCATTCCGGTCTGTCTCCCCTTGAGCTTTTACAGGTTACTGCCAAAACCTGCTCAGTCTCGGTTCATCCAACTCAACTGTGCCATGGCTGTCATTGAGAACAGTGTTTTTCCCTGACTGTTCTTCTAGCCTTTCTTTGCACCTCCACTTCCAATAAATCTCTTTTAATCTGCAGGGTTAGAAGTAGACACAGTGCTCCAGATGAGGTGTTGCTAGGGTCTTTCATGATGGCAT